TTCCGATGTGCTCTGCGGTTGGGTGACTGGTCCTTCGGCAAAAATTATGGAGTCTTTGAGCGATGAAAAAGTTTTACAAATATGTTCAGATTTAATAAGAAAATTTGTGACAAAATATGAATCAAAAACTGCTAAAAGGTACTGCGATCCTGTTGAGGTATTAAGGTACGTGCACTCATTTATTTAAATTAACATCTTATTAATTAATATCGCAAATGTGACATTACTCCGCGCTCAATGAACGTTCTATACAACAAAAATGACTTCGGCGCGCGCGATGTCCAAGATCGCAATGCGATGTTGTTTTGATGTTGTTTTTTTTGTGATTGTCTTTTCTGGAAAGATATGATTTTACTTGCTTATAAGTTTATCAATTTTTTTATCCTTATGGTTTATTTTTTTTATTACAGAAGCAAATGGGAACAAATCCATATAGCCGAGGTTCTTATTCGCTTCGACTACTAAAAACTGAAAATTTTGGTGGCAGTTCTACAGAATTATCACAACCTGTCATTGATGCATCAGGAAGGTCTGTAGATATTTGCTCTTTATTTATATATGTATCTATCGTTAAAAAGTAATAATAAAAATCGTCGAAAAATTTTTTTTAACACTTTATTACCAGAAAACGGCCCGGCCGATCTCTACCAAAAACTAATCAGCACGATTCCCAACCAATATCTTTCGAACGGTTTTTAAATTTTCATAATCGATTCGTCACTTTCATCGCAAAATTACCTTTGACAAAATTGTACAGCATAGAATTATATCCAAAAAATGTATTAATTTTTAGCTCGCACCGGAACCATGAGGACTTCTGAGATTTCTTTTATAATTATAGTTTCAGCAATTTTGCCAAGTTACAGCCCATTATGAATTATTGTAGCATTGTAACATCATACTTCATTTCTTTCGGCTTGACATTCAGTTCTGGAACACCCTGGTTTCGTTCAATTCTAATTTACAAACTAACTAAATCTGCAAATGTTTGAATCAGTTGCATGTTGTCAGTTTTGATCAATTTGTAAACAGTTTGTGCTCGTATGAAAAAACCCCTGTAAATTAGAATATTTTATGAAATATTTCAGGTCAGCTATTTTATTTGCTGGAGAAGCTACGAGTCAGAATTATTATTCAACGGTCCACGGAGCTACCGAAAGCGGTTTTAGAGAAGCTAATAGAATAATTAATCTCAGCAAAGCACAAAGAATGGCCAGTGATGAATATTAATAAATTAACAAAAATAATTGTTTCACATGTGGAATTTATTATACTCATGAGATAAATATAGCTATTGTGAATACTATAGTTTTGTTTCAAAAAATACTTGTTTATTTTTTTTTTTACAAAGAAATCATGACTCATTTATATATCATATTTGTTTGTATATCATTTCTATGCCAAATATGGTCTTAATTTGAAATAATTAATCTAATTATGTAAAATTAAACTGTAGAATTATTCGAATAAAGCAAAAAGCAAAGCATTGAGAATGCTGCCAAATTAATAAAATGAATAGATAGAAAAAATTAATAGAATAATTAGATAAAAGATATTAAAAGTTTTATAAGAACATAAGTCAATACTTTTGTAAAAAAAATGTAAAAATCATTTTTGTATATATTTCTTTAACAATTCCTTCTGAAAATTGTCAACTACATTTACAATTTTTGGTTATCTACTTCTACGATCTTTGATAATTCAAAAGTGAATACTCAATCTTTGACATAATTTTGAAAATATATATTAATATTTTAGCAAAAAATAATTAATAAAAAAATGTTATAAGTATACTGTACCCATAAGGGTGGAATTGAAATTTAAGTCAGTATTATTTGTCCAAACTGTATTTCTACTTCTTTTATATTTAAGCTTAATCATAAATAATGTATAAAAATTACTAGTTTATTATTCCAGATTTAATAGTAAATACAATTACAAATTTCAATTAAAAAAATATCGATAAAGTTTCGAATAAACATTATTATGGTAAGTGTTTTATTATTTGTGGTCAGAAAATCTCGATAGCATTGCATAAATATAAATACACAAACCATAACTTCTAATCTAATATTTTATTGAGTAGTTTAATAGGAAATAATAACGCAAATCTTATCTTTAGTTTACATAATTTTTTTACAATATTGTATTTATAGTGCGCTTGCGATAATTAATTCATAGAAACGTTTAGAAAATTATGGCAGAATAGCGAGTGTAAAGTTAAAAATTGGTTAATAAATTTTAATAGACATACTGACATTTTGACTTTGATAGTTTGTGATAAATGTAATAAATTTACAGAATAAAATAAATTTTAAATTTATGGGTTTATTGAGTACTCCATTTTGTTAAATTATAATTTATCATTGTAATTAAATTTAATTATAACACTATAAGATATATTTTATATAACGTTATAATTATATTTTATTATAAATTTTTATCGTATTGATTTCTAAAACAAAAACACATCATTTTTTTATTATTACTCTGACCAGTTTTTTTTATTATATTTTTTTTAGTTTTGCTTCTTTCTTTCGGCGCGACCAATATAAGAAAAATTTTGAGAATCACTGACCCTCACAGTTTTTCAAACACTGCAGTTAATTCTTTTAAAATTAAAATTGTAAACATAACCTCAAAGTTAGTTCAAATGGCAAAAAATATTGTAATTATCGGAGCTGGAGCTGCAGGAATATCTGCTGCTGTTAAATTGAATAAAAATGGTTTAAGAAATGTGATTATTTTAGAAGCTAGTGATAGAATTGGTGGTAGGATTCACACAACATTATTTGGAAACAACACAGTTGATTTAGGAGCACAATGGTTTGTAAAGATCCATCAAAATTTCCTCTATTAATTCTTTTCTAAAACAATGATTTGAAGAACAAATTGAATGGCAAATTTTATTACATAACACTAAAGAATGTTGCTGTATTATGTATTGTTTCAGTATATAACAAATATTACCTTTGTAGGTGTCACGGAGAAGAAGGAAATATTGTACATGATATAGTGAAGGATATGAATCTATTAAGTAGTTCAGAAATGTTCCTCAATAATGAAATTCTCATATCAGATGGAACAACAGTTTCCAAAGACATTTCTAAAAAACTTGAAGAAATTTATTTAAAGATTGCTATCAATGAGGATGATATAATAGATCCTGACCTGTCAGTTGGACAATACGTGACAAATAAGTATAAAGAAAATATATTTTAATACTTCATACAATATTTACACATTGACAATATTTTCAATGATTAAAACTCATGAGATTGGTAATATATTCCAAATTAACCAGCATTTAAAATTAATTGTATAAGCTATACTGTTTTTACACATAAATGTGTTAATAGTAATCAATATTACAATATTCAAAATTGCACGATCGATGAATACTTAAAACTTAATAATTTACAGTTATTATATTATCTGAATATTTGTTATTTTAACCAAATTTATATACAGTAGAAGTCTATTAGTCCGGCACCCAACAGTCCAGAATGCCCGATAGTCTGGAACAATTTCAATTGTTTTTTCAAGAGTTTATCTTATATATAAAAATGGAGCTCAGTATTATGTTAGGTCTGGTAAAACTCTAAAATATAAAATATACGGATGAAATAAAATGACCAGTCTTGAAAAATTTTTAATTAGAAATGTTTGTAGAAGCGTAATTAAAGTGAAACAATGGACGGCAGCTAATATGTCAAATGTTTTAAACAGATGATGTTTGCTACTCATTTGGTAACAATTGAAACATTGTCTTCTAGACAAACATTGAAAATCCAAAACTGAAACTCCTATATAGTGTACTGTTCAAATGATTTAGTGCAGTACATTTGCAAGGAATACCGGTAACAAGTCCAATGATTGTTGAAAAAGTAAAACATTTTGTCCAAGATTGCTGAAAATGTATGTAATTATTCTGATGGTTGGCTCAGAAACTTTAAGTTTTTAGATAAAATTCAAACCTCTGCAGAAAAATATAAGGATTAGTTTCAGAAATTTCTGATTGTTGAAATAATTTAACTGGGGAGGAGAAAAATCCTATTTAGAGGAAAAACAAAGGCAGATTAACCGTTTTGTCATGTGCTAATGACTGCTGCCTTCTTTAAAGACTGTTTTGCACCAATTTGTACTCTGGACTGTTTGGCACCTCCTGATAGTCTGGTGTTTTTGATAGTCCGTTACCTAGGCCGGTCCCAAGTGTGCCGGACTAATAAACTTCTACTGTAACATGTATTATTATAATGCTGTTTTTATTTTACATAATTTATTACTATATTTTAGATATTACAATATTTTAAAGGAAACTGAATATCAATTAATCGATACAGTTCTCGCTGAACAATACTTAGAGTGGTGCCATAAATGTGTTAATAGTGTTGATGCATCCGACAATTGGTTTGAAAGTTCTGCTAAAGGATCATTAGAATATTTTGAATGCCCTGGACATCCATTATTGAATTGGAAAGGTGCTGGATATATTAGATTTCTAGAAGTCTTAATGGTATGAATTACAAGAAATCATTGAAATTTAATCTATTCTAGATTTCTTATCAAACTAACAAAGTTTGTATAGGTTGTTTAAAAAAAATAAATACTTTCCTTAATAATCATCAATATTTTGCAATTTAAATGAATAAATAAATTAAAAACGAATGAATCTTGTATGAAAAATAAAAAACTAAGACTATTTTACACATACAATATTAATATGTTCTATTTTTATACATTTTATTAAATATGTAAATTAATTGAAAATTATATTGAATTACACACAATCATTGAATTTTAACTTACAATTAGTATATTAAGCTATTTTATTATTTTTTAGGAAAAATACCCAGATAAGGAAAAGGATTTGAATTTAGACATACGATTTCAAAAAGAAGTTACTTCTATAGAATGGGACCAGCCTACAACTAAGAAACCAGTGACTATAAAATGCAAGGATAATTCTTCTTACGATGCTGATCATGTCATAGTTACTGTACCTTTGGGAGTCCTCAAAAATAAGTAAAAAAAATTCTTTTTGAGACCTGAATAAAATCTAATCAAATATGTTTATTTATAATTTTATATATAATGTGAGATATTTATTCTATCTTTTTTTTCAGCACAAGATTATTTCAACCAGCCTTGCCCGAATATAAACTTAAATGCATAGATAATCTAGGTTTTGGCGTCGTTGATAAAATATATCTTCGATTTGAGTCAAATTGGTGGCTTCCTGATTGGAATGGCATCAGATTATTATGGACTGCTGATGATAAGGAGGTTTGCATTTAACATTTGACTAGTTGTATTCAACAAATTAATAATAATAAAAATAAAAAATATAGAATGAAGAACATAAGTGGCTTATTGATGTATTTGGCTTTTTTACTGTTGACCAATGCCCAGATGTACTTTGCGGATGGGTAACTGGTCCTTCAGCAAAAATTATGGAATCTTTGAGTGATGAAGAAGTACTGAGATTATGCTCTGACCTATTAAGAAGATTTGTTGCAAAACACAGAAAGAAAAGCAAAATACTTTATAGTGATCCTGTTGAAATCCTTAGGTAAATTATTTGTAATTAGATTTATTGGTATTAGTGTTATTTAGTACTTTTTGTTTATATGTTCCAGTATATGATGATTTTATTAATCATCATTTTATTGTTGATGTTTTTATTACCAAAATATAGTTAATTTATATCTTTTATAGGAGTAAATGGGGTGAAAATCCATACAGTAAAGGATCATATTCATTACGTTTACTGAAAACTGAAAAATATGGAGGAAGTTCTTTTGAGTTATCTAAACCAGTTATTGATTCTTTGGGACGGTAATTTGAATTTTCATAGAGTTCGTAATCACATCATAGATGGTCATTGATTGTATCATTGTATATTTTAGATCAGCTATTTTATTTGGTGGAGAAGCAACCAGCAAAAACTATTATTCAACAGTTCATGGTGCTGTGGAAAGTGGTTTCAGAGAAGCTACCAGAATAATTAGTTTGAATCCAAACAGTTTGAGGTCAGTGATGAGAAATGGCAGATCAGGATAATAAAATTATATGTTGTGGTTAGTTTTGTCAAACTTTCTGTATGCTTTATGTGCATGTTCATGTAAAATGCCTGTATTATTTTAAATTAATAACCATAGTTATAAATTTTAAAATTAAGTTTTTCTTCATTACTAATATGGATCTTTTTATAATGTATTTGGAATAAATTTTCAGTAATACTTCTCTCATATTAAGACACTGTATATTTTTGAATAATTTATTTACTGTTATTACTACTTACATTATTTTTACACATGAAATCATTTAAAAATGAAGATATATTTTACAAGTTTGGTAAAATTCCATGTATTTTTACATTTGGATAAAAATTGTAAAGGTACCAGATTCCTCTAAATCTGAGATTAATAAGTCGATTATTATTTACACGTGTCTGAAAGTTCATGCAACTTGCCATAAAGCAAAATACCATTTACAATTATTTTTTTATTTTACAACTTAATATTTCTGTTCAAATAAAAACATGATATATGTAAAATAATACATTAATACATATAACATATATTTTCTGAACTTGGTGTGACTAACTATAGTTATTAAAGTAAATTCTTCTTGGGTTCTAATATAAATTGTTGTGTACATAGTATACATTTGTATGTAAAAATTCTATACATGTTGTTCTTAATCCATTGGTTGAGGAATTTATATCCTATTACCCATATTTTCTAAACAAAATAATTAAGTAAAAGATTATTTATTTAAATATTGGTTTTGGTGATGGTGTAGATGCATGAGATTGCATGGTAGTCATGTTTTTCTTCAATCTTCAAGGCTTCAAATTTTTTCTGCAGATCTGATTGTATCACCTCATCCAAAAACGTTTTAGTAATTGGTGCTGGGATATCTGGTCTGGCTGCTGCTCATACCTTACTTAAAACCAATTTATCTAAATTATTTATTAATTCTTCAATTAAATCTGATGGAATATGCTCAGTTAAAATACTAGAAGCTAAATCTCGACCAGGTGGTAGAATAAATACTGTAAATTTTGGAAATGACTTTGTGGAAGCTGGTGCACAATGGTTACATGGTTCAAAAAATGCTTTATTTAAAGTATCAGATCATTATAAATTATTATCAGACAAAACGTCTATGGAGGGACAAGGACTTTATATAAACGAATATGGTGCAACAATAAACGATAGTGTTGTAAATAAAATTGATTTCATTGTGGGTCAAATTTTGGAAAATTTGGAAGCTTTTGCTGAAAATGAAAGTTGTGATTACCCAGACAGCGTGGAGAATTATTTAAAAGAAGAATTTGATAAGTATTTAGCTACTTGTTCAAGTGACACTGCTGAGATGAACCTAATTAAAAAATATTTGTATGAGTGGCATGTTCGATTTCAAATAATTGATAATTCATGTCTTTCTTTGAAAGATTTGTCAGCAAAAGCATGGGGTAAATATTCCTTTGAAGGGGAGAATTCTCAAGCTCATATAAATTACCTTCACGGATATAGTACTGTTATAGAAAAATTATGTAATACTTTACCCAAAAAAACTTTAGAATTTAATAAAGAAGTAGTATCTGTACAGTGGTCAGAAAATGGTGTCAAGGTTTGCACAATGGATAATATTGAATACAATGCAGATTATGTGATAGTTACTGTATCTTTAGGAGTATTAAAAAAGAATTATAAAAATTGGTTTAAACCCAGCTTACCAAAAAATGTTACACAAGCCATTGAAGACATGGGTTTTGCAACGATCAATAAAATATTTTTACAATTTGAAGAAGCTTGGTGGAATGATAATGAGGGATTTCAATTTGTATGGTTTGATGCAGAATCAAAGTGTAAACCTGATGAAGTCAGTATAAAATTCATTAATTTTATTTTCAAATTCTTTAATTCTGATTATATGAATATTGTTAAAATTATAAATTTAAATTTGTAATAAATAAGTAATTCTCTTTCAGGCTAGCTCTTGGGTTTACGACATGTCTGGATTTGATGTTTTATATCCAGGGGCTACTAATACTTTAGTTGGATGGGTTGGAGCCAGGGGCGCAATCCTAGTTGAAGAACGATCAGCAGATGAAATAGCTAAAGATTGTGTCACATTACTTCGAAAAATTCTGAAGATTCCAGTACCAACACCATGCCGAGTGTACAGGTGAATAAATAATGAGGTCCAAATAATACATTTATACATGTCAAAACATTATTACTATTTTTCAAAGGAGCAAGTGGCATACCGATCCTCACACTTTGGGATCATATAGTCATACTAGACCTATCTGTGATAAAAATAATACTGGGTGGAAGGATTTAGCTTCACCAATTTTAGACAAAAATGGACAGCCCCGAATTTTATTTGCTGGTGAAGCGTGCAGTGAACAATTCTTCTCTACAACACACGGTGCTATGAAGACAGGTATTGAACAAGCAGAAATAATACTTGAATCGATAAGAAATATTCAATATAAAAATTGTGATAGTAATGTTTATTAAACTATAGTTAAATAATAATACTTGAAACATGTGCCAATCTTTTTTATCTAGGCTGATGTATGCACAAAGCACAATTTAATCAATGACATTAAAAATTGCAAATTGAAAATTAAATTTCAACCAATTTTCAAAGTTAAAAATTTTGATACAAATGATATACTTATGTAGAAAACTTTTATCAACAATAACCAATTCTCTTTGCACTATATTTTTACTAATTGTATATATTTCATATTCAATAAAAATGAATAACTCAATAATTATTTGTTCATTTAGGTGTAACTTACATATATAAAATGCACTAACCAGAACGACATAATTTTGTAAATATTAAGGACAAAAACTCAAATAATTAGCATTTTTTTTTAATAGGTTTTTATATCCTTAATAAATGTGAACCATTTGGCAAAAAATTGCATAAAGTATATACATATTATGCATTTTTTTGCAAACTATTTAACAAAATTGTGGAAAATTAATGTTCTGATTTGTTTAGAATTTTTTTAAAAAATAAAAAAAAATATTCAGCAGGCCATTGATAATTATCAATGACCTGCCAATTTTTTATGCTTATTTAAATGTGCATAAAAAATAAATGCAGCAGGTTATAATTATAATTTTAAATTAATTTTAATATTCTTCACTGGAATTTTGAAATTAACGTTTTTTTTTTACTATTTAACCGCGGTTATTTTGAAAATCGATTTTTTGAATTAATTATTTATGTAAGTAATGTAATAATATATAATATATATCCAATATATATGTCCAATAAACTTAATATTAACTATTATAATAATATGGACATATTAATTTCAAATTATTCAATATATTTTTTGGGTTTTGGGTTCAGTCTTAATTTTTCTACAAGGTTTATTTATCTTTATCCATGTCTTTTATATGCTCAGAAACCATGGTGCAAATTACTAGAAGATTGAATTTTAGCTTTAAATATTTTTATCTGGCACATTTTATCAGATGACATTTAAGATAATGTAATGCACATAATACATATAAAGCAAACAAATAAAATAAAAAAATGATAGTTATATTGTTTACATTCTTAAGCTATAATTAAGCTTATGAGTAAGGTACATAAAATAAAGGTTGAATTTAGTAGATGAAAATTAGATAACTTTTCCAAAAACAGATTGTGTTGCTTATAGTTAATATATTTCCTTATTCAGTTGCAGCAAAATAATATTGAAACTGACATAACCTAAAAATATATAAATGGCAAAAAATATTATAATTATTGGAGCAGGTGCAGCAGGAATAGCGGCTGCTGTCAAATTAATAAAAAATGGCTTAAAAAATGTAGTTATATTAGAAGCCAGTGACAGAATTGGTGGTAGAATTTATACCACAAATTTCAACAACAACACAGTAGATTTGGGAGCACAATGGCATGTAAAACTCAATTATAAATGATACTATCAATAATTATTGTATTAATAATTGTTTTATAAAAATCTGTCAACATTCGATGAACTATATTGCTGATTTTAATTTTTTCACAGCTGCATGTTATTGTTTACAGATCAAATTATGTAAATTTTATTTATTGTTATTAATTTTAGTTTTCTTTTCTGCAGGTGTCACGGAGAAGAAGGAAATATTGTATATGATATCGTAAAGGATCTGAATCTATTGAGCGGTTCAGAAATGTATTGGAATAATGAGTTTTTAATATCGAATGGAACAATTGTTCCTAAGAACAATTCTAAAAAACTAGAAGAAATTTATTATGAAATTGGTATAAATGATGATGATATATTCGATTCAGATACTTCTGTTGGACAATTCAAAATTAAAAAGTAAGTCGGGGGCTATAGTTCTGTTGAGTATTACATTTTCTTAAATAATGACTTATGTGAAGAATTTTGATACAAGCATTATTTTATTTTGAACTATCAAGCTAAAGGGTTGTTTTTGGGATATATTCTTAATCATTAGATTATGCACAAGTTGTGTCAATCAATAATTATTATTAGTACAGTCATTTAAGCTTAAATTAGTTAAGAATCTTGGAATTTGAGATACCCAGCTGTAAGTCTGCAAATATTTGTATATTGGCACCCTAAAGTTGTCTCAAAACCTACATATGGTAGGGTTTCAATATCATATGTAAGTTTTGAAACAACTTTAGGGTGTAATGTACAAATATTTACAGACTTACAGCTGAGTATCTCGAATTCCGAGGTGAACTTACTATAATGACTGGACTATATAGTCAAAATGCAAAGAATAAACTGCATTTAAAATCTTTCCTTTTATATTTACATTAGAAGATTTTAAAAGATCAGTTAGATCTCTACATTAGTATAATAATTAATTGCTGATTTATAAATGTTAGATTAATATGCTGTGCAAAAGATTCTGCGTATTAAATAGGAATATCTGCCCTACTTTCACCACAATATATGAAACATATATAAAATATGTTTATTTATACATATTAGATACATAAAAGAATTATATAAATTAAGCACTAAAGATAGGTATTTTAAATTCATTTACTGTAGATAAACTATTTTTGAACTAAATCTGTAATAAGTGCTTTATTAATATTATTATTATAGGAAACTAGTGGGGCGCGTAGCATCGTGCTTTAAGGCAAATTGCTTTAAAGAACTTCTCGTACCAAAAATTTTTTTTTTTAAAAGATTAACAATTTTGACAAAAATTTCCTTTTTTTTGAAAAAAAAAATGTTTTCTTTATTTTGAAATATTTTGGAAATTTTGAACTTTTTTTCAAAGCTATCGTACTGCTTCAACTGCATAGATACGTTATATCGAAGCGCCTAAGCGCCGCGTCGTAATGCAAACAAAATTTATACTCATGGTTAAAATCTCTATAAAATATCTGATAATTTGATGTGCATATGTCCAATGATCATTTTTGATCGCCAAATGGCATTTTTTTTACTTTTTCCCCTAGATCGCCGAAACCACTAGACCTGCCTTCATACAAATTTGATCAATGCTTCATCTTGTCAATACAAGTAAAATGTTTTTTGAATTATTAAAATCGGACGCCCCGTTCTCTTAAAAACTGAGTTACCGTTTGTGGCACTTTTTGCCCCGTATCTTCGAAACGGCTAGACCTGCCTTCGCCAAAAACTAATCAGCACGTCTCCTTATCAACAGCAATCAAATGTTTTTTGAATAATTGTAATCGGTTGAACCGTGTTCCCGAAATCGTCGACGAAAATTTGTATCCACACACACATACATCCATTTTTGCTAAGGTATGCCAAAATGTTCAGAAACCTCTGAAACGTAAAGATATATAAAAATTTTCATTTTCGATTTTTTTGCGATTACTATAACTTACCCTACGGGGAGTTAATAAGGGTTTATAATTAACTCACATGTGTCACTCAAAAGAATCTTTTATTAACAAAAACCATATAGACCATATGGAATTATAAATGATAATCATTTTATAATTTATAGATATAACAATCTCTTGAAACAACATGAGTATCAAGATATCAATGATGCTCTTTCTGAGCAATACTTAGATTGGTGTCACAAGTTTAATAATAGTATTGATGCATCAGACAATTGGTTTGAAAGTTCTGCTAAAGGATCGTTGGAATATCATGAATGTCCTGGGCATCCAATATTGAATTGGAAAGGAGCAGGATATATAAGGTTTTTAGATGTTTTGATGGTAAATATTTTATTTTGTGTTATATTATAAGTTTACACCGAATTTTTTTATATACTCGACACATTTGTGTGAGGCTTCAATTAGGATATATTTTATCAGTTTTAAAAGTTTTCTTTGTTGTTTTTTTTCATTCAAAACCCTAGTGGTAACTTTCCTTAGGACAAGCTATAGCAATCGCAAAAAAGAGTTTCAGAGGTTTCTGAACATTTTGGCATACCTTAGCAAAAAATGGAAGTATGTGTGTGTATATGTATGTGAGTGTGTGTGTGTGCGGATGCAAATTTTTGTCGACGAATTCGGGAACACGGTTCTTGTCAATACAAGTAAAATGTTTTTTGAATTATTAAAATCGGATGCTCCGTTCTCGTAAAAACTGAGTTATCGTTTTTCGCACTTTTTGCCTCGTATCTTCGGAACGGTTAGACCTGCCTTTGCCAAAAACTAATCAGCACGTCTCCTGATCAATACGAATCGAATGGTTTTTGAATTATTCAAATCGGTTGATCGGTATTCCCGAAATCATCGACGAAAATTTGTATCCGTACACAACATACACATACATCCATTTTTCTATGCCAAAATGTTCAGAAACCTCTGAAACGTAAAGATATATAAAAACTTTTTTTTTTCATTTTTTTGTGATTATTATAACTTACCCTATGGGAAGTTAATAAATGCATCCAAAGAAATAATTAAAAGAGAATTAATAAAAAATGATACTAATCAGTATTTCCTAAAATTTTTCTAGAACAAGTACCCTGATCCAAAAAAGGTTTTAAATTTGGATATACAATTCAAAAAAGAAGTTATATCTATAGAATGGAATCAGCCTTTATCTGAAAAACCAGTCACTATAAAATGCAAAGATAATTCATGCTATGAAGCTGATCATGTTATTGTTACTGTACCTTTAGGCGTTCTAAAAAATAGGTATCAATTAACACAGTTGTACATGTCCTGTTTTATATTATTTATGAAATTTTTATTTATTTGTGATCTTTTAACACAATTTTAATTTAGACTATTTTTACAATTGACTTGCTGCTCCCAAAATATATTAATTTCATTGTATTTTCCAGCTCTAGTTTATTCAAACCAGATTTACCACAATATAAAATGAAATGCATAGAAAATCTAGGTTTTGGAATTGTTGATAAAATATTTCTTCGTTTTGAATCAAAATGGTGGCTTCCTGATTGGAATGGGATCAGATTATTGTGGACTGTCGAGGATAGAGAGGTATTAGAGAAACATGTTTGTTTAATTGTTTTATATATATGTAATTACTTAATTATAGTACTATAATTATTATTATAAAATTGTTGTACATTGTTGTTGTAATTTTAAGAAAGAAAATGAAAAATGGCTCATTGATGTATTTGGATTTTATACTGTTGATCAATGTCCTGATGTACTTTGTGGTTGGGTGACTGGACCATCAGCCAAAATTATGGAATCTTTAAGTGATGAACAAGTGTTGAAATCATGCTCTCGTTTATTAAGAAAATTTGTTGCAAGGCATAGATTGAGGAATAATATATCATATTATAGTGATCCAATTGAAGTTCTGAGGTATCAAACATAAAAATATAATAAATTCAATAAAATAATATTGTTGGTAAACAAATAATAATTTAAGAGATTTTACTTGAACTATTTCATTGTATGTCTTCTAGAAAATTTAGTCAGGTCTTATTTTTCAAAATTAAGAACACAATTTTCGCATTTTTTTTAAAACATTCATAGATTCAATTGATGGCGGATCGTCCTCATCTTATTCTAGTTTAATTATAAAAATTTATTGATTTACAATTTTTTATTTGCAGGAGTAAATGGGGTGAAAATCCTTACAGTCGAGGGTCATATTCATTACGATTAGTCAGGACAGAAAAATATGGAGGTAGTTCATTTGAACTGTCGAAACCAGTTTCAGATGATTTTGGAAGGTAAAGATGATAAAAGATACATAGAAAATAAATAAAAGTTGGAATATTATTAAAAAAATATTTATTGCAGTTTTAACCATAGATGATATCTGATTTAGAAAATTTTGTTACTAATATAACATGAATTGTATTTTAGAATGAACCTTTTATTTGCTGGAGAAGCTACAAGTCAAAATTTTTATTCAACGGTTCACGGGGCTGTGGAAAGTGGATTTAGAGAAGCTGGTAGAGTAATTAGTTTGAATAATTACAGACCAGATACAAGATCCAAGCTATAGTAAAGTATGTTGTAGCCATATTTATTTTAACCTATATATATATATATACATATATATATATATATATATATATATATATATATATATTAAATTTATACTTATTTGCTATACTCTTGAATAAATATTTCTTTAACTAAATTTATAACTTGAGGGTGGCAAAATGAATTAATTAAACTCGTCATCATCTTCAAATTTTCATTTTTAATCTTCCCATCTGTGGTTTTTCAGATGGCGTTTAGAATTTTCTTGTATCACATGTTCAAATTCCATCTTTGTACTCTCATTCAAAAATTTAATATTTTTAAATTTTAGTTCATATTCTTTATATAATTCTTCTTCGAATAATAAATTTTCATGACTAGAACCAGGAGGAAAATCTTTGTGCTTTTTAGCAAAATAAGTTAAATATTGAAGAGCAGTTTCTTTAGAAATGTCATCCTGTAATATTTTATAATCAATTAGATAATTATAAATGAGGACCAAAAAATTAATGCCAATTATTATAATAATTGAATTATTATTAAATTATTAAATATTAAATATGCTTTATTGAATAAAGTTTTTGAATTAAATAACTTGAATTTTATCTGCTTTCTATCAACTTTGTTCAGTTTTTACTATCTTTAGGGTTAGTGGAATGAATTAAGAATTATTTCAATTAGGCATCCTATACAAGTTCTATATTACCTCATTTGGATTTAAAATAGCCTCTGCAATGTTATTACTTCTATCAATTATTGAACTAATAAACATTCTTACAAATGATTCTTCCAAACGGCTTTCATCATCAGATTCCTGTTGTACTCAATTGATTAAATATTAAAATATAAATTCATATTGTCTATATAAGCTTCAATGCTTACCATGGGCACCCAAGTATTTATACTTATTGCTAAATCAATATTTTCTACGAAATGCCACCAATGTTTAGGTACAAACAATACATCTCCAGGGTTTAATGTTACCACAATAGCTCCGTCAATAGCTATAAATTTATTCTTAAATTACTCCAGTTATATTAAATATTTCAAGTAATAAAACTATCAAACCTTTGAAATCTTTTACTTTTTTTGGACTATAAAAATCTAGTCCACTATAAATGCTTGATTCTTCATATGGAACTCGGCAAGGTTTCATAGGGCTTGGATGATTAGATTTTTTATCAGGAGGTATGAGAATCCATCGCTTTCTATAAATTATACAAATTGTAATAGAATTAATATACAAAATTGAACAAATATGTTATATGTAGTTTATGGTTATACATATACATATATTAAATGTTAAATATGAACAATAAAACACTCAGATTTTTAACACACTCTTTATTTGGTAATTACACACATTTTGAGACCATGGTATGCCTCATCTTCAATGTAATTTCAAAACAGTTATTATATACTAACACGCTCTTTAATATTTTATTTAAATTACATTTAATATTTGAAAATACAAAAAACACCAACTATCTCTTACATTTTACTGTGTTAAGCTTAGTAAGAAATAATTGGTGTTTTTTGTATTTTCAAAAATTAAATGTAATTTAAATAAAATATCAAAGAATGTGTAGTATATAAGTAACTGTTTTTGAAATTACACTGAATATGAGGCATGCATGCCATGGTCTCGAAACGTCTGTAGTTACCAAAAGTGTGTGTTAAAAATCTGAGTGTTGTATTGTTCATATTTAACATTTAATATATGTATATGTATAACAATAAACTACATATAACATATTTGTTCATTTTTGTCATATTCTCTAAATATTATAACCATTTATTATTAATTATTATATATCATTGAATAGTAAAAATGGCTTGATCTTAGCTATCAATGCTCTATAGAATAAATTACTCTCACTCATATTTTTAAATAATTTAGGAAAATTGTTTGGATTTATAATACTAATTGTATTAAGTAAATGTATAGTTATCACTTTTTTTTGTAAATTTGCTTAAATTTTTTTTTATAAATGTAGATATTTGAACATCTGATGAGAATAATTATAGTTTTGTGGCCTTTATTATTGTATTACAAATATGTAAAAAATAAAAATACATACCGTCCAGAGATTTGTGCTACCAAGTTAAAACTATAAGCATCATAATGACACGGGGTATGGGCACCAGGCGTACCTATCCACAATGTACTATCTCGACAACCAATTTCTTCAACACCAAAAATCTTCCAATCAAACATATTGCTCATATCTTCTTCAAACCATGTATTCATATGTTTATAATCAAAATATCCCCATTTATCTTCTGAATCCTGAAAATCTTTTATGAAATCTTTGAAATTCATGTCAACAATTTTGCATGATCGCTCCCATTGTTGTGTATAATGCTTTTTGTGCCCAATACGAATCGGTAATATTTTTCCTTTGAATTTTGTATACCAGTCTTCCATCGTGAACTTTATAATCGGCCATGAATTTATGTAGTTTTTAAATAATATTGGTTTTCGAGATTTGAGAAGATTTTTTATATTTATGGATTCTGATTGTTCTTCCATTTTCGCAAATTGTCGAATAAAATATAATTATGTGCACTAAAAGAGTGAAACTGAAAGAGCTCTAATCATTTACAAAGAAATTTTAATAAGCCACTTAATAAATTAAGGTTATATTAGTTGATGTTATAAGGTTATGTTATTATTTACATTTCTGTGCGTTTTAGAAATCTTATTCGTTACTACAGTAGAGTCCAACCTTTTCTTACCGCTCCCGCGATCTTATCAAAAATAATTGTTGGGCCCCACTTATTTTTTTTATAAATACTCTCCCTTAATTGAATTTCATAAATGCTCAACTGATAATAATAAAATTATCAAACTACATATTAATATGCAATATTATGTAAAATAATTATTCATTCACTTTTAACTTTCCCGATGGAGAAGTTTGTTTTTATCAAAAAATCCGATTTGCTAATTTTATGTTTTCTCGATGTTTCAAGCCATTCTGAATCGAATGAGACCAAATTTGGAAAAAGTATGTGTGTGTGTGTCTATGTGAACAGATTTTTTGCCGTAAATCGACTTTTTCTCAAAAACGGCTGGACCGACTTAAAAAATTTGAAAGCCATTCGATGTATCTCGATGAGGATTATTGTTTGTCAGTTTTGTGCGACGATCGGCCAAGCCGTTTCTCTGTAAATAGCAGAAAAGTGGAGTTTTTTTTTGTCCACGTTTTAGCCCGCAATTCTGAATCGATTTTAAAAATTCAACAACCTTTCAAAAGATAGAAAGATTGGTTGGGAATCCAATGGTTATCCAAAGGTTTATTTCTTGTAACAAAGTGTTAAAAAAAATTTTTTCGACGATTTTTATGAATTTTTTTTTGACGGTAGATACCATAGTCCTATAGATCATACTAAATATTACGAACTTACGAAAAGTCGTTTAATTTTAAAAATTCTTCAAAATTTGCAAAAATTAGTATAGTTTTTTTGGCATTTGTCAAACCTTTCATCGACATTTGCTCAAAAATGCCTGAACCGATTTCAGAAATTTAAAAGCCACTTGATGTATCTCAATGAGGACTATCGTTTCTCAGTTTTGTGCGAAGATCTGCCGAACCGTTTCTTTATAATTTGGAAAAAAGTGTTAAACTTTTCGTTCGCATTTAAGCTCATACTACCGAATCGATTTTAATAAATCAAAAACTGTTCGAATCGTATTAATTGGGAATGATACTGATTAGTTTTAGGTTTAATAAATCTACCGAACTGTTTTCTTGTAATTAACGATTGAAAAAAAATTTACGCCGATTTTCATGGAACTGTTTTTGGCGATATATATCATGGTCTTATAGAACTTACTCAAATATTACGGCCTTACGACAAGCAATTTAATTATCAAAGTTTGAGAAAATGGGTAGTTTTTTTGACGTTTGTTAAAATTAAAATTAGACGATTTACTTGGTATAACGATAGAGTACTTGGTCTTAATGATCATACTAATTTGTTAGAGTCCTATGGAAACTGCTTCAATTATAGAAATTGTTGAATTTGAAAATTTGCTTTTAGAAAATATTCCGTGTTCGTTCGTTCGTTTTCGATGATATATGCATGATAAATCCACTCGGAATACTTTTAATCACTCATAAATTAATTTATTTTTTATTGATTAAGTCGATTATTTACACGTATCGATAAGTTTATGTAACTTGCCTCAAGGCAAAATACCAATACCAACTAGTTTAATTTCGTTTGATTTTATTTTCGAAAATAGTATTTTGGGAACAGCTGTACGCCCCCCTTGCTCCACCCAACGGGCGCGCCTCAAAGATTGGAAACCACGACATTAATGCATATATGTATATAACGTTATAACCATAGTTATAAACAGTCATAACTATCTCTCTAAATTTGTGATAACATATTTTGCCGTTTTAATTTGCGAATATCATTTTAAAAAATATAATTTTGTTAGTGATTGTGTTGTAAAATTGCTTAGAATATTTTACTCAGTTTACTCAAATTAAAGGTAAAGTTTAATATTCAACGACGTTTCTTAGTGATTTTTTTGACTAAACTTCATTTTTTACACTATTTTATATTAACTGAGGTGTGCACCAATATTAGAATATAATAAATATTATATTATTTATTATATATTATTGTCGAGGGTGTAACCGTTCAATTGTGATTGTTGAAATTTTGCCTAGCTTAAATTTCTTATATTTATTAAAAGCAAAGAGTATTATATTTGATTTATATAATTATTAATTTATATACTATTAATTAGGTGATATTCACTTTACTAAAATATTCCTGAAAGTTAAAAATATAAATCTATCTCTGGCTTATATTTCTTACGAAATATCATAAAAGATATCATCCTATATTTTGAAATATTGCAATATTAAATTACCACTTCATAATAGATCTTTTTATTTAGGTATATCACAAACTACAAATAATAATTAAATCATTTCTATATTGAATCAACTAACTTAAACCTATTATGCTGTGGCTCAGGTATCACATGAAAGTATTTTTTATAAATTGTTGTTCCTCTTCGTTCAGCATAGATTCTTTGAACCCAAGTGTGTTCCCAATTCGGATCAAATTTTTCACATGTTACAAGAACTTTGCCATGTTCCATTGCAAATAATGTTCCATTTTTACCTAGTCCAACCTAAATATGATAAGTAACATTAATAATTGAGAAATTAATAAGTAATAAGTCAAGAATTAACTTTAAGTTTAGTGAACATATTTTTAGACGTGTTACTTCTAGTTATGCTAAATAAATATGATTTAGAGTAATTTAAATATGATTTAAAGCAACAAATACTATTTAAGAATGCAAGACAAATCAGGTATTTTTAAATAAATCACTTTTTTTTAATCAAAATTACTGACTTTTAATAAGAACTTAATATTCAATTATGTTATATAATATTTGGATTATATTAACCTGCCTTTGAAATTTTGACTTCGGCAACATATTGTTTGATATAAGCATATTCGTTGTATGTATTTTTTTTTAGATATTTCATGGGTAACTTTATTATTAAGTAATTACAAAGATTCAATTTGATAGAACGTTTCGAAGGGGACACTCCGGGACAATTATTGCTCTCAGAAAAACCCGGGACGTTTGGTCACATTATTAGTATGCAAACTAATTAAAAACTAGTCAAAAAAGATCATTAAATTAATTATAATGTTATTAATTTTATATGAACTGCAAAACAGTCCATTCATATATAAATTTAGCATTACAATGCCTGTGTATGCAATGAAATAAAATTGCATTTAAATGCAATAATTAAGATGACGGCAAAAGTGATCTTCTTAATATAATCACAAAGGGATAAACTAGCTTATTGAAATTAGATGATTGTATTGAATTTTTGTGTTCCAATGCAATACTTTTAAGTAATTTAATATTCTTAAACTAATGTTTACATTTAAGCCAGGATGAAATCTCAGTGTTAGTTGTGTCGCTAATAAAGTTCCTGCTGTGACTGTATGCCCATCTTGAACCTTCCATCCACGATGTTTTGGCCTTGCGTGACCCTTTTGATTTCTAGTACTACCTCCAGTTTTCTTACTAGCTTCTCTTATGTAAACTATTAAAAAAATGGTATAAGTAATATATACTTTAATTTTCAAAAGTAATTATTATATTGTAACCTGCATTAATTGCAGCAGCATGTGGAGAAACTAATCTAGATGTTTGATTTAAACTTTTGATTAATATTGACATATTTAACGATGGAAATAAATAAAGAGAAAAAATTTGAGGTTAGAACACGACTAAACCTAACTTTGCATGTCAAAAATATTATGTATCGATTTCGATAACATATCGATATATATAGAAAAAATCTTCTCGAAGTAGAAGTCTATCTATGAGTTTATCTCTTCTTATATCTATGATTTTATGTTTCCGATTCGCTAGTTTTTATGTTTTCTCGACGTTTCAAGCCATTCTGAATCGAATGAGACTAAAGTTGGAAAAAGTATATGTGTGTGAACTGATTTTTTCATATGTTAAAATCAATATGTTCATATGTTTAAAGTTAGTGTATATGTGAACTGATTTTTTCATATTTCGTCGACGTTATCTCGAAAATGGCTGGGCCGATTTCAAAAATTTAAAAGTCATTCGATGTATCCCGACAAAGACTAGCGTTTGTCAATTTTGCTCGACGATCTTCCAGCCCGTTTCTTTGATAATAGCAGAAAAGTGAAAAAAATTTCTTCCATGTTTTAGCCCGCCTGAATCGATTTTATCAAAAGGGTTGCAAGCCTAGACAATATTAGAATACCCCGTGTTCATATAGACGCTTCTCTCGCCCGATTTTTACGTTCAGAAGGAATACTTAAAGGGTCCTCCGCTCGACGTGATGGCGCTGCTTTTGGCATTCAAATTAATGGCGCAAAATTTGAAATGAAAATTAATCATTTTTAATGCACGGGTATTCGAAACTAAATTTGGTATTACAATCCTATTATGTTTTGTAATAATACAATAATAACAAAAATATACTAGATAATATTATATTATAATAAATATACAATCAAATCGAAATATAAATCAACGAATACACTGCAATACACCGGTTTATATATAATATATATCACATCTAATCTACTGGAATAACTTCTACACTTTTTTCTACTTATTAATATAAATATGTATTGAAATTTAGTGAATAATGCATTATAGTGTTAGTTCATTACATCGTCTGTCATTCTTAACTCTCATTAACTAATAATCATCCCGTGTAAAATTTGACATTCTTAAGCAATTCATTTTCTCCCAAGTATATTCAGATCCGTGTGAAGTGGTAATCCAATTTTAAACAGCTGGAACAGCTTTATAATCATGTATTATGTCTTTCTTGTAAAAGCGTATTCTTGATTTCTACACAATTTCCTAGAACTGACCTCTTTCCTTAAAGTGTATTATGTTTAGACTAATATGTCAATGCACTACCTAGTAATGTAGTAATTATGTCCTCCATATGAGTTTGAAGCTGTTCTATTCATATTGTCAAAGGATTATGCATTTGAGAGCAATTTCTGATGAATAAATATAGAAACACAAACGAACAAGCATCGCCATTTTGTAAACTTACACTGACGTTTCTTACTAACCAAAATAAAACATTTGAAAATACTTTTTCATCGGCTCACTAGCGCCAAATGTGCGACTACAAATGGACCCCTAAGTATTCCTTCTGAACGAGCATTTTGTTCTAAGTGAAAAGGCCCTGGTTGCAAGATTAGATATCGTAGATGCACAAATCTGGTGGCCGTTAGTGTCAAACTTCATTGACGTTATTTGTCCGTTGCGTCGTCGATAATTCCATAGAGCTCGGATTTGTAGTCAGTTAGTGACCGAATGTAGTCAGTAGTGACCGAATTAGTACGATAACGATCATAGTGAAAAAAGTACCGTTCTTGGAGCAGCAGGTCAGCACGAGTCCATTCTGTTGAATTAACAATATTCTAAAAGTAAGGTTAATCTAATTTGTTTATCTGTATTTTAATTTAACAATCTTGATATATACATATTAAACACTCTTAAAACTTCCGTGTTTCTTTACAATATATATATGTGGAAAAAGTGAATTTATGACTATTTCACTATCGTCTCGCATTATTTTACTGACGTCTGATTTTTCTTTATTTATCAAACGAAAAATGTCTGTTTTAATGCCTCCCGAAACTGTGCGTGGAATGACTATATTAAATCGTGATGCTTTTAGCAAATCAATATCTGTTCCTACAATAGACATAACTTCTGTGGAAGCACCTTGGTCAAAGATTTTACCAAGTCTTAAGAAATACTTGTTAAAAATGGACAACTTGAAACCCGTTTGTTCATCTGATAATAAAAAAATAGTTCTACTCAATCCAAATATTGTCAGATCATTCAATGATCTTGAAACAGAAGCTTTGTTACAACATGATATAAATGAAAATTATTTTTCTTATCAAAATCTTGACTTGAAATATGAAAATTGGAAAGCGGATGAAATTCTGAAATCGGTGTTACCTCCTGACCAAGAAGGACTGACAAGTTACTCAAGAATAGGTCACATAGTACATTTGAATCTTAGAGATCATTTAATTCCATTTAAGTCTTTGATAGGCGAAGTATTGTTGAATAAATGTGCAAATTGTAAAACTGTAGTTAACAAAACACAGAACATCGATAACACATACAGAAATTTTCAAATGGAGCTGCTTTGTGGAGAAGAGAATTATTTGGTCCAAGTGAAGGAGCATGGAATCCAATTTGAATTTGATTTTAGTTGTGTGTATTGGAATCCACGACTTAGTAGTGAACATGAAAGAATAACAAAAAAGTTGAGCTCAGGAGATATTTTGTATGATGTTTGTGCTGGTGTGGGACCATTCAGCATACCTGCAGGAAAGAAGAAATGTAGAGTTTTGGCAAATGATTTGAATCCGAATAGTTACAAGTGGCTCATTAAGAATGCTGAAAAAAATAAAATTAATATACAATCTTTCAACAAGGATGCAAGAGATTTTATTAAAAATGATGTTAAAAGTGATTTAAAACAGCAATGGATAAGCAACTTTTCAAATAATATTCACATGACTATTAATTTACCGGCAAGTGCTGTTGAATTTCTGGATGTTTTCAATGGGTTATTTCAATGTGATACCGAATTATTAGAAAAACCAAATTTAATAATGCCTGTAGTTCATGTTTACTGCTTCATCAAAGCTGAAGACCAACATGCGGATCTTGCAAAGAAATTAGCTGAAAAACATTTGGGATTTGAGCTAAAAGACAATTTGCAGGAGGTTTTCTTTGTGCGCAATGTTTCACCAAACAAAGAAATGATGCGTGTTAGTTTTCAATTAACAACTGAAATACTGTTTAATGAAAACAGTGCTAAACGGAAAATAAGTGATAATTTATTAGAGGATTCAGTTGATGCTAAAAGAAAATGTAAAGACACGGATATTGATAGCTTAGATAAATGAGTTTATTTAAATATTTCTGATTTGTAACTGGATTTAATAACTCTGATTAATATTTATTCAATGACTAAAGTTTGTTATGCTGTTTTTAAAATGAAACACTGTTTTAGGTCTAAATAAAGAAGCTAAAAATGGGGAAGCAGAAAAAAGTTAATAAGAAAATTGTTAAGCAGTTGAAAAAATCTAGTAATAATAATGTATTCAAAGTAGCTGGAGCAAAAAGTCTTAAAGCTAAATCTAAAGCTAAAGTGCTAACCGTTCAGCTTAAAAAGGTATTATATCAATTATTTGTGTGCAATATTTGCTATCTTATAAGATACTATACATAGGGATTCATTTCATTTACTCACAATAACTATTTCAGTTTTATTATTTATCAAAATAGAAATTGTATGTATAGGATGTTGTGTAATATTAAGATGAAAATTCCATAAATAATATTAAAAAACTTGCTATGAAGTACTTTCCTGAAAATTATTTGCTAATGCCAGAGAGCTATAATTTTTTCATGTCTGCACAAAATTATATAAAAAGTAAGATGATATATTGATACAAATTATAATAAATTACCTATCTAAATTGTAGCTTAAAACAGATAAAAATGGAAAAGTAGCTGAAGTAAATAATCAATTAAATAAACTCCAAAAAGAAGTTATAAAAGTCAATCAATCACCAAAACAGCAATCAAAAAAAGCTACACCTAAGAAAAATAAAAATACAAAAGCGAAGAATCGAGCTGACCCAAAATTAACAAAAGTTTTAACTGTTGCTTTGGACACCATGAAAATGTAGTACGATCTGGAAATTTGACATAACATTTATATATATCTCAGTGTGGATATAGCGTTTTTCTTATTAGAATTTTGTTTAACTTCTATTTGAAGTTAAAAATCATTTTTTTATTTATGCTTTTAGTTAGATCTATTTTGATTTAAGAATCATCTTATTTTAAGATGCTATATATAGTCGAATGTTATTTAAGTTTATGAATACTATAAATTACTGAATGGAAATGTGTGTCATTTTTATAATAAATTTATATTATTCATTTTTCATTCTAATGACAATAAAATAATTAGCAAAAAATGGTTTTGTGATTGTTTAAATTTATATTTTCAGTGCTTTATTAAATTCATGATGCATTTACTTTTTTCCATTTGAATAGAAATTAATTTACATATGATCTATATCTTTTTTATAAAAAATTGACATATGTTGACTTTTGATTATTGATCTTAAATGTTTTTTGATAGATAAAGCTTATTCATTAACATTATATTAATTTTATACTCACAGGATTGCAAAATCTTTTTGCAGGCTATCTATTATAGTCTTCTTGAGGTTTTTAATTTTCATAAAAAGCTCAGTTTATCTAAACACAAATAAACTGTATTCAATGTTATTAAAGCTTTTTTATTTCAGACAAAATAATTTACAAGATTTTTCATTATATAACGTAAATATATAATATATGGAATTTTTATTATACATTTGACTATATTATACTACTTGTTGCGATACTAAAATATACACATGAAGTCTCGAAGAAAATACAGATTACTTCCACATCACATAAAAATAGTTAAAATGATCATATATGCATATATATAAATGTATATATATATATATATATATATATATATATATAAAGCATGATCAAAATAATTTACTTATAATATAAAGGTACAGTTATCACATATATATAACAGTTATTCTCACGAGGAAGAAATAAATGAGAAAAATTTTAGAACTGGATATTTGATAATACTGATCTTATTTGTTTTATATCTAGTTACTTAGTCAGATTAGCATACATTCGTAATATTCAACAAAATAAAATAATAAAGGTTTTTCTCTCAAAATACATAAAGCAGGGACGTATGAATTAAAAATAAAAGGATCAAAACTAAAACATATACGTTTATAACATTAATATAAAATGTTTTCGAGTAATAACGTATTGAGTTTTTTAAAAAAAAAAATCTTTTAAATTGTATTATCAAAACAACAGCATTTCATAAATTTCTGAATAATTTTTATATCTGACTATTAATTTTATTTTGATAATTTTTTTAGTTGTACTTGATTTAAATCCGGCTTATGCGTTATTATAATACATTTTGTTATATGTTACTATAACTTAATATGCATTTTATATACTTATTTGAAAATGATATTTGAGAAATAATAAGTATATTTATAATAACTTGGTCCAATAAAATTTGGGCTAGTAATAGATGAAAATAGACTTTATAGTTAGAAAACTATGAGCTATCCAGATAGAGCATAATTTTAAATATATTTTATGTTTAGATATATAGAAATATAGCATACATTTAGTTGAAAAATATCTATAAATAGGTTTTCTAGTCGCATCATAGTAACGACAATTTTTTTTACTCTTTTTTGTTTGAATTTTATTGGCCTTTTAATTAAATCCTAAATCTTAGGTGTTTATTCCGACGTGCATTTTATTATAACTTTTCGATTTTAAAACAAAGTTATAAAAATTAGCAGTACAATATATATTCAACTATATGGTACAACTATACGTAACACGCACGTTTTATTAAAGTAACCAAGAACTACGTAACAACGTTTCAGCAATGTTACGTAGTTTTAACTTTTGTGTATCGTTATAACTTATGAAGATCTTGTGATAAGTTGAATAGTAACTACGGATAAACAAGTATAAATGATAGTAACTATGTGGTATGCCTAAAATAATATTTTAATTTTAATAAATAAATTTCAAGAATATTTATCATGTGATTAAATTCCATAAATTAAATTAAATACCTAAAATACAAATCTTTCTCAATTTTATTTTTTATGTAGAGCAGTTGTCGTTTCAATAAGCGAGTAGCAAACCTATATAGTTTATTATAATATGTTCTTACATACTTACAGTTACGGATTTAAAATTTCTTTAATACATTAGCGATTGTTTGTTTTAATTAAATCTATTTGTAAGTAGATTGAACTCCAAAGTTCATTATTTTAAGAAAATATCATCTATTTCAGATATGCCTTGTACCCTATTTGATTTCGAATATTCAGTTAGGCTTGATGGTTTCATAGATAAACATAAATCTATTTCTCATTTTTATGGGAAACTATATATTTGACGATAATATGCATTATGTTTCTAATTATAAAACAATATGCTGTTTTACGCTTGAAGAGCAACAATATCTAAGAGATCCATGAATTTTTTTTATTAATCTTTGAAATCAACGAAATCGGTCAACAACGCATTCATTAGAGCTTAATAACAAGAATATTATTTATCAGTGTTTAATTATCCAAATTATCAATTTGTATGGTATTGTACAGAGAATAACAGTATTCATTATTGGATTCTGTTGTCTTCGTTACAAGTTAGAAACATTGTAAATCATGCAGTTGTTTCTTGTTTTACAATAGAACCCAATTTGTAATTTTCCAATGAAAATTATCATAAATAAAAAACAAACTTGTTTAAAGATCATTTTGCGGGTTGCATTTATGCCTTAAATTTTAATATTATATGAACATCCATAAAAGTGAAAATTTTTCAAACGCTCAGTCTATTTAAAATAAATAGAAACAATATGTGATCACTTGAAAGCTCTGTTGTGCAAAGATTTCAATATATTACATATCTCTTTAGTTTTCTCAATTATTAATTTGAAATAATTGGAAGTAGGATTTATACAAAAACCGACATGTTAGAGAACCGGTTTTCGAATACTATTTTTGTTTTTGACCGGTTCCGAGTTTTTAATAAAAACTCTGTTTGCTCGAACAATTCGAACAAAAAAATGCAACAAAAAATTTATGGTGATTAAAAGCAGTTTTTAACTAAAATTGTTTACTGTTCAATTTTATTAGTAAAATTTTTTACGCAATATAATAGAACAAAAAAAAAAGATCAGGAAAATCAGTTAGACTTTAAAAACAATTATTTGTTGTTTATGTACAATTTTTATATATAAGGGTTATCGACAGTGTTTTTATCAATCTCATTTTTTAAGTGCAATTGATACATTGACAACTGGTATTTTCTACCAAAAAACCGGTTTTCGAATTCCATTCCAATTTTCTTAAAACCCGGTTTTCGAAACCGGTTTAAACTAAAAACCGAGGAACCCAAATAGGAAGATAGGTATTAATGCGTTGTTTACAGATTTCGTTGTTAAACCTTAAGACATTTTATTCAAACGCGAAATTTGTTTTATAAATCAAAATACAATATAAATTATAACTTTTAATATTATAAAGTAATAATATTTGCTAATATTTATTATAGGCCTTATTGTTAGTAAGATCCGACTGGCCACTGGTTAGGAACCCCAAACTTATATTATTCTGATAGTTTTGTGTGAATTAATAAAGTAATAAATAATTCTTTCATTCAGAACTTTGAATTGCCTCATATTTTATTGATGTTTTGGAAAGTAGTAGTAAAACATATAATTGGCACTTATATTACCATTTTACAAGTGGGTAAAGATCGATTTTTTTTGAGTGCTCAATTCCTTTAAATTGATCCAATTTTATATAGCTAATTTTGATTGAATCTTATTAATTTGAAATTATTTATTTAATTTGTTTAAATAATAACTTGCACAATTTTATTATTCATACTGCAGTATGAGTTTTCATGAAAATGCTCGCTTTATCAAAATGTATAAGTTTGGAGACTAACAGCTTTTACTCTTATGAAATGAAATATATATTTTTAGTTTTTAGTTTCATAATTCAGAGATAAATAGAAAAAAGGCTATTGAAAAGCCACATTTACAATTTGGGAGGAGGGATATTTGATACAATTTACAAAATTAATTTACCGCTTTCAAATCTTCATAATCTAATAATATGATCGATGATAACATAATTTAAAACTTTATAATTTATTAATCTGGCACAAATTTCGATATGGGCGTCTTATGTTCCTATGGCCTCCCTTTGATGATGGTTGTCATTGTTGTGCTCAAAGTTTCATTGTGCAGGCAGTATTTCATAACTTTACCGTGCGTGCAAGTATCAACAGTGTCAAAGTTAACAAATAAAAAGGCTAGACCAAGTAGGGCCACAAATAGGCCGAACAAGGCGAGCCCTAGGGCTGGCAATTTGTGCCTGGCGAATATTCCGCCTTGCTCCAGGCGAAGATACGCTAAACCAGGAAGAATGTAGGCCAATGGTACGGCAGCCAGTACTCCCTGAAATAAAAAGTTAAGCAGGTCTGCCTTATAGATTTTAGAAATTAAATCTTTTTTAACTATTTCAATTTTGGTAAAATGAAAAATATACATGAATTATGACGGGCTATCACGAAAAACTTTTTGTGAATTGATAAAAGTGAATAACCAGGTGCAAGTAGCCTTTTGCCCTAACACATTCACTGATGTGCACGCACATGCTGCGAGACCGTTGTCAATAACCAGACTTTAATATTTTAAGTAAAATAAAATGATTGAATTGAAATTTGGTACTGTAATTATTTCAAATAGAAATTGTCCTGTTCATTTGTTTTAGAAGTTTTTTTTTTTAAATTTCCAGATAAAATATCCATAAATGGTTTTATTTTATACGAATACGAATAAAACAGTTTAGTACATAGGGAAGTATAAGCAACACATGCTTAGAAGTGAATGTGTTAAGGAAATTTGCAAAATATTACAATATGACTAAATAACAAATTGACGACTTGATTTTAAAATTAAGCAACTTTTAAAATTGTTATGATAGAAGTTTAAAAGTTTGACGCCATTGCATCAAACTTTAATTGATTTTTATAGTTAAGCCTTTTCTTGCAGCCTATAAAATTTTAGGATGTTTGTTAACACCATTAACTTTTAACCAAAATCGTAAAACTTCAACAATTAATTACAAAGTAACATCTTTACCGATTTTTACTAAAAACAACTACTTGGTACTATCCTCAACTGCAGTTTTTCGTACAGTTTTTAAATTTTCAAAATCGGTTCAGAATTTTTTCTTTTGCTGTTTCCTTTTTGAAAACTAAAGAAGCATTTTAAAGATATGACTCCCTACTTTGAATGAAAAATTATTAAATCTCATAGTACTTGGTGTTTTGCTTACGAAGTATATTGCAAATATTTTTTTCCATAATCATTATATTATCTTACATTTAATTCAAGGACGGGTCCCAAACAATCAGTTGCAGTCGATATCAAACAAGCAGCTGCAATAATTCCTAATGTTAGTCCTTTGTGGCCCCAATTGTCTGAATCGTTGTCTTCCGATGAATTTTGTCCTCCGATTGCTGGCAACGGTGTCGATCCGGCAATTACGTTTCCGCCAATTACACTATGCAACACCTGGCGCATTAGAGATTACACATTTTTAGATATTGAACACATTAAAGATTAGATTAATTATTTGAATCAATAGTATTAGACTGACTATTAATTGCCAATATTTATTATGGAGACCTTTTTTGTTACTATCATAACCATTTAAAGTGGAAGTATTGTTTCTGAAAAAAATATATAAGAAAACGTTATTTTTATTTCGATTTCAATTTAGTTTGGTTCAAAGAGATATGTTTCAACTATTTTAAATTTATAATTAACCCCATAAATTAACTTTATTTTTCACATAGATTTTTTTCAGAATCAAATGCTTTCACTTAAAATGACTTGATGTTATACATTAATGTTGTCAAGCTTCGTATTGATAACAAAGAATTATTTAATTATAATAGAAAGATTACCTACATAAAAAAATGATTTCTAAAATCAAGAAAAATAATGTAGGATTTCTGATAAATTATTAACCGATAATTTAATTCTAGTTATGGAAGTTTTTGTTGTAGTTTTTTTTTTTAAAAAAAACTTTGCTTTATACATTGAAAATGTATTTTTTGTATATTTTTACAGTTTATTCTTTAAGCTCGTCGTGGTGTAATGGTTAAGAACGTTGGCTAGCTCAAACTAGTTAATTCGATCTCAACCTCGGCCAGCTCGATATCATTCAGAATGTGATATAAAATTTTTACTTGAGGTTATAGATTCAAATATAGTGAACTTTTTTGGCATATATATATATAATATATATATATATATATCAAATATAGTGAACTTTTGGCATATATATATATATATATAATATATATATATATATATATGCCAACACTATTCGATATACATATGTGAAGTATATAGTCTACACATAAAAATGAAGAGTGGTTCACCGCTGAGTTGCCCTTTTGGAGAAAAGTTCTAGGTTAGAATAGACGATAGTAAACATAGCTCACAGAATATTAGAATATGTTGTTCTGATCGCTTTTAAAAAAATGAAAACGATTTAATATTTTAATTGATTAGTGGCTTTTGATAGTTTGATAAAGGAAGGAAGAAGAATCACCACAACAAAAGTTTTGCAGATGACCTCGCGGTGATATCACAGACCGAAAGATTGAAGCTGCAAAACTTGAAATCTGTCAAACTTCCAA